AGTTCTTCAGACCCTAACTTATCTTTGCGTTAACAAAAGAGAACATGGGTAGGAAACTTCACTCAACCTTCCTGGAGTATTTGGGACTTTTGACCCAAGAAAACCAAATGGGCAGGTTTTCCCTTTGTACTAGTGATTATGATCTCAAATGAAATGATCTCTTTGCTCAACACAAACCTAAATGACAGGTATTAGAAATGCAAAGATGCTTAACAAACAGTGGAGGAAAACAACAAAAATTCATTAAGAAAATTTCAAGGAAAAGGACAGAAAAAGGAGACATACTTGAAATAATGCAGGAGGGAGGAAAGTTTCCTTAACACCTAGAATTTTTCCCCCCCCAAACATTGCCTTAAGGCTGAATGTCTCCCGAAAGAATAGCTTATGGGAAAAGCAAAGAAGTAAGTTTAGGCTTCTAAGGGATGGAGGCAATTTAGATCCAAGATGTACCTTACATGGGGTATTTTGGGTAACTGTTAGACATACCAAAACAAGGATGGTTATATTGATGAAATAGCTTATTGTCTGGCCAAAAAAATTTACCATGTAAAACCTTAGACAGATGTCTACAGATCACACATTATGTCACCATAGTGAATTTCTACTGAGCATGATTATCTGAAGGCGGGATTTGGCCCGTGGATGCAATTAGCAGGGTTAAATGAAGATTTAATGACCCAATATTCATCTGTGCCTTTTCTCAGCATACCTGTATTCTTTCCAACTAAGTGTTCTAATACATCTTTCCCGGAGGGTAGCAGTGCACCTGGGATGTGTTTCTGCAAGCAGGATTTGCTAGCTTCTGGTCTGGAAATAATGCCATTCCCCAGGAAGGGAGTCCAAAGAGCATGAAAATGGAAGCAATGGTCAGGTTATTTCTCTCTATCTCCGTCCGCACAGCAGTGAGAAAGGATCATTTCTGGGCTGATGGCCCCTTGCTGTTTAGTCCAGAGTCAGGTGCTGCTGTTGTTGTCATTTGTCCTTCGCTCTCATAGAGGACCATGACATCGAGAGGCTGATGCCTGAGGAGGAAACGGGGGGGGGGTCTACTTACTACCTCCCCAAAGTGACCTAACAAGTCAGTGGCAGAAAACACATTAGATACCACAGCCTTCAGAGCCCAGTTTTGCGCTTACTTTGAAGATCCACATTTCCTGGTTAGTCACCAATCTTTGGCCTCCTCTGCCCCTCCCCCAGATGCTCAGAGAGGAAGCAGAATGGTCTCCCTCTTCCCTTAACTTTGCCATCCCAGTAACAGCTGGCATCTTTCTCTAACAGCCTCCCCACAGAGATCCCGCCACTAAGTAGGCAAATGGAATTTTTTTTTTTGTCTTCCAGTTCTAATGTAACAGCGTGGCTGTGGTCTACTCCGCTGGAGCTGCAGAAGTCAATGTAATGCTACTTGGCTTATACATATTTTATTTTGTTTGGCCGTTGGTGATATTTAGATAAAAATGATCTCCGGATTATGATAAACACTGCCCTCTGTCCAATGAGTGCAGTTAGATTACCGACCATATTAAAATCTCCATCCCTTTCAAGGGGCCTAGCTACCAAAGCATGAAGGAGGCAGTTAAGGAAAGGGGAAAAAATCCACATGGACCATTATTGGCTTAAAGGAACTGCTGAACCTTGGGAAAAGATTTATGCCACATTTATTATGACACTGTAACATCACCAAGGATATAAACCAGTCACTGGCACTCTCTCAAAGAACACATCATTGGAGCTCGTTATAACAATACTGCTGTGATATGTGCTCATAATATTTATAAAGGCTAAGCTATGAAAACAGTGCATGCCAACTGTCAGCAGCGATGTATCCGTTTTAAAGAAGACGATACACACGACATAATGCACTAAGTGAAACCGGTAAAAAGATCCTGGCGATACTGAAGCAATCAGCCCCTTGGTCCCCTTCACTGGCACGCTGTGACTCTATGGACTGGGTGCTTTTCTCCCAGTATTTGGGATAATTTCATGTGTCTTCTCATTGTTATTAAAAATCACAGCACCTTAGGGATTTAGAGATTATACAATCCAACTCTTTAATGGGTTGCTGAAGAAGAAACTGAGGCTCACAGGGGAGAATTCAATTCAATTCAACTCAATTCAGTAAGCATTAATTAAGTGCTTGCTCCATACTAGACATTGTATCAGGTGGCCTGTATACAAAGACAAAAAGTGAACCCTGTCTCAGGGAGCTTATATTCTTCTGGGGTTGCAGGAGAGAGGTGGTGGGATACAACACACACAGATTGTTCAATACAAAGTTAATTGGGGGAAGGGAAGGAAGCAAAGGAAACAAACATTAATTAAGTGCCTACTATATGCCAGGCACTGTGCTATCTACTTTACAAATATTATTTCTTTTGATCCTCACAACAACTCTGGGAGGTGGGTGTTATTGTTACCCTCATTTTGTGGTCGAGGAAACTGCGGCAGGCAGAGGTTAAGTCACTTGGTTCAAGGTCACACAGCTAATAAGTGTCTGGAGCTGGATTTGAGTGCAAGTCTTCTTCACTCCAAGCCCAACCCTCTATCCATTATGCTACGTTCCTAGCTGTCTCTATGGGATGTCCAGGTGGAGTTTTCTAGCTGGTGATTGGGCACAAGGTTACTTAACTAGTAAATGTCAGAGCGCTGAAATTGAATCTTGGTTCTTTTTTTTTTTTTATGCAAAGTCAGATGCTTTTTCCACTTTATCATAAACCCTCCATCTCCACCCTGTTGGATATTATTTATGGTTATTCAGCCCTTGGTAGAATGTCTTGTCTATATAACTCAATAAATATATTTGTTGATTGATTAGTTCTTCCACTTGTGGCCTGCACGACCTAGCATAAGTTATTTAATTTCTTTGGGCCTCACTTTTCTCTCCTCTAAGATGAGGGAGCTGGACTGCCTGATTTCTGCGGTTCCCTCTAGCTATCACATTCTATGCCTCTCTGATTCTTTAAATGGATGGCAATCTCTAAGATTGTTTCCAGTTCTATTGTTCTATTTTGATTGATTATTATATAAATATATGACCCTTGATAACGTGTTGGAGAAAGTAATCGTCAACAATTTTGCATCCTTGTCGAAAATAAGAATGATTTGGGCCTTTGAAAACCTAATGATTCTTTTTTCTTCTAATGGTAGGCAAAGACCTGTAAGACACAACCAATAATTCTACTGTTCCACCTTCCTCTGTCCCTGAGTCCATACTGTGTAGGGATGTGCAATCCATTTGTAAAGCACATGCCTATAATACAAATACACATGTGGTCCTCTTATTCATGCACCTGTTGCTATCTCTCAGGAACATCCTGAATCTAATAACACTAATTTCCATTTGTTGAGTGGCGCAGTGTAGGGGAAAGAATGTTGAATTTGGAGTCACAGGACCCGAGTTTGAATCCTGTCACACCATATGTGAGAGCTTGGGCAAATTACTTACCTTTTCTGGTCTTTGGTTTCCTCATTTGTAAGATGAGGAGTTGGACTGACTGGCCTGTGAAATCTCCCTCCCAACAAGATCTGCATACACACAAGATCAATGCATATTCTATGGCTTACAAAATGCTTTACTAACACTGTCTTGTTTGGTTGTTGCTACAGCCTTGTGAGATGGTTAGGAAAGGTGTTAGCATTCTCATTTTACAGATGCAGTAACTTGAGCTTAGAAAAGCTAACTTTCTCAAATCAACTAGCAAGGAGTTGATATGAACCTTGAACCTAAGTCTTCAAATATGGTACTCCTTTTACTAAATTACAGTGTCTATTTTAAGGCTAAGAGTTTTGATAAGTCAGAAAACAAGGTTTTAAAATGATCTGCTGGGCCAGCCTTGCCCATAAGAAGAGTAGATAAATATTAACCCAAGAGGGCACCCTTCCTGAGAAATATTTTCTCCTCTGACCTTGCTGTGACCTAAATTTACCAAGCTACTCATTTCTTGGGCTAAAGGCCTCGAAATGCAAATGTTATCTGAGAACACACATTCAGAAAATGCAGGTAGATTTTCTGTGCGTACCTGCCCTCTATTGGAGCTTTGTCTTCATAGACACCCTTGGTTCATAGAATTCCAAGATTCTGGGGGGACACATTAAACTATTATCACTTCACAATAGCTTACCCCTAATTAATTTTTCAGATTCACCAGCTGGTGAAACCTTGAGGAAATGGTACCTAGGGTAAAACATTTAGAAGGAGGCATAAAGAAGGGAAAAGTGTAGAACGTGAATGAGTTGATCCTGAAAGGTCAGGCATAGGTCACATGCTTGGCATTGGCAGGGAGGAGTATCATGGGGGCAACATGGGGCTATTGGAATGCCCAGTTAAATAGGGTCAAACAGGAGGATTAAAGGAACAAACTTCATATGCCTCACAAGTTTGTTGGGTTGAATCTATTGAGTCACAGTTAGCTGGCAGTGAATGGGACTTTGCTCTAGGAGGTTGACTTAAGTGGGGAGGGGCATGCACTTCCTTCCTGTGGCAACATGTGGCTCTGTGCCTCTTGGCATAGGGCACAACTACTTCAGGACTTTCTGGGGTAGTGCCTTCCTTTCCCAATATAATTGTACCCACCATGGGGTTGGTCCTCTGAATTCTCACATTCTCTACTCCACCCTTATGATCAAACTTTCCTCTGAATTACTCTTCCTTCCTCCAAACTTTCCCCCAGGCATAGTTTTGGCTACTTTTGGTTTTGTGATTCTATCAGTTTATCCAAGATGACTTTTAGATGACTACCATGAACCAGTGAAGAAAGATGACCTTGGACTTCATTTCATCAAAAGTGGGAATTCCTGAAAGCGAATAAACCACCTTCTTTGGGAGCTATTTACAGGTTGGGTTGCCCTGAGAGTAGCTTCTAACCAGAGTTCAGAGGTTTTCTGTGGGTCTGCACTCCAAAAACTCAGTCATGAATCTCCACCAGTTAAATAGTTAAATATTAGGTACAATTAGCTCAAAGCAAAGGCATATGCTAAAATGGCCTAGTAAGAAGAGTAGCTATTAAACTTTCCCCCATAAAGCTAGGGCACAGTCTTCCACAAAGATACAGAGTTCCCGGGACTGAAGGGGAGAGCTGATGTTTTCTCTTTTCTAGTGGTGTCCTAATGATACCCCAGGTACAGCATCTCCGGTGGGCGAGTGATTCAGCTGGGCTCTCTGGGCCTGCTTCTCTCAGTAGCTCAGCTCCCAAGTGATAAAGCGAATTCTTCTTGAATTACTGGTTAAATCTCTTCTGTGCTGCCAGAGGTACGTGCCTTGAAGCTGCTTTGTGTCCCAACCAACTGTGCTCCCTCATGGATGTGTTTTCTCCTACTGGGTGAGGATTTTCCATGTCACCAAGAATGATGGGAAGGGTGAATGTAGAGAGAAACATCCCCTCCCACCCCCACTCCTCCTTTGCCTTGTAGGAGAGGAGCTGGCATCATGCTGTACAGAGCTCTCCTGTCTGGACATTCCCCAGTTCTGGGGGAGCTTAGCTTTTTAAAAACCACCAAGAGCGCGGTCAATCTTTAGCCCCCATGGCAGGCCACCCTGGCTCATCAGAGAATCTTCTTCACACTTTGTAAAGGGGTCACAAGGTGTAGGCACCTTTTTGCACTTTGTCGAACACATTAGCACCTCATTACTTCTGTTACCCCACTCTTACTTTCTGTAATTATTCAAGTGGAATGGGGGAAGGGGTAGGAAACCAGCTCTGCTTCATCTCCCCCCCCCCCGCACCTCCATGTCTGGGAATGCCCAGTGTCCCCCTGGAGCAGGTCTGGGTCTATTTCTCATGAAGCAACCTTTCTGGGAGGCTGAACTGCTTTTTCCATGGTCTATCAATCTGTCACCTTTTAGGAGAACTAAATCTATTCCAAATATTTTCATACTGCTATTTGATAGTTTGGAACCAAGCAGTATTTTATCCAGCCCATATAGCAATGGTTCCAACTGAGAGACCTAAAGAACTGACCATAGGAAGCAAAGTTTTGAAAATAACTTGGTAACCTGTATTCCTCATTATCTGCACGCGTGCTTTATATTTCACTGTGGTCATACTGAACATGCAGAGCATGAGTTCACTTACATGAGCCAGTCTTAACAGGACAGCTCCCTCTCCATTACTGGTATAATTTGACTTTCATGTTGATAACTTCTTTTTTTTTTAAATCATAAAGTGTATCTTGAGTTTCTCTGTTTTGATTGCATCCCAGGGGAAAAGAAAACCAAATACAAAGAAAAGAAAAAGTCAGTGTAAAGGTGAAATGAAAGCAATAGATAACATTAAAAAAGTGTTGTAAATCAGAGGCATTGAATCCCACAACACTCCCAGCAGAACTAGATTCAGTTGTAATTGATAAATTTTTTAAAAAATACATAAAATAGCACATAGATAATGCTAATATATAGTTTTCTACCTTAATACATGGTGGCAGGGATCCTTAGGTAAGGCTTAGTGTTTCTATTTCAGCTTGACACCACTCTGGTAAGTTACACCAAAAAAATCTTTGGGTAATAATATTTGGAAGGATGGGGGAGGCTTTCTGGACCTGTGGTCCAGCGTAAGAAGCATCTTTGTTGGAAACTCTCTGTAGTCTTTGAGTATTGCCTGGGGGTGCTGAGAGCTGGTTAACTTACCCAGGTCACATAGCCACTTCGTGCTAGGGGCACCTGACTCCAGAGGTGATCTTCTAGCTGACTACACCACTCTATTGCTCCATGAGAATAATAATGATAACTTACATCTGTAGAATTTGCATCCTATTCAGCCACCCAGCCTTCCCACCCAGACCAATTCACCATCTCTACCTGATTCTGATAACCTCCATAACAGGGTCCTGCTGAATCTACGCCCTGATCCTGGGAAGTTAATCTGTTCATCTTTGGAGTCCCAGCCCTAGGCCCTTTTCTGTTGATTAGTGACCAAATGTGTGCAAACCAGCCAACAAAACCCACGGCATCTATTGGCTAGTGTTAGACATCAGATCATTGTTGAGCTTTACACCCTATTCATCTATCCAACCACTCACCCAGAACATCTCACCAACTCCCTGTCTCTCCCTCTCCCCCACTTCCCCCAGCCCTCATCCTACCTTCCATTTTGCTGATGCTAAAGTTCATTTCACTGGTCACCTCTCTTCTGCATGTGGTTCTTTTCCTATTAGGATATAGGTTTCTTGAGGACAGAGACTATCACTTTTTTAATCTTTGCATCTGCAATGCTTAGCATAGTGCTTGATACACAGTAAGGGCTTATCAATTGCTCACTCTTTCTTTCTATCTTTTCTTTCTCTCTTTTCCTTTTTTCTTCCTTTCACCCTCCCCCTATTTCCTTCTCTCTCTCTTTTCCTTTCTTCTTTCTTACTTCCTTCCATCATCCCCTTCCTTCCTTCTCTCTCTTTCTCTCTCCCTCCTTCTCTTCCTCCCACTCTCCTTTTTCTTTCTTCTTTCTTTTCTTCCCTCCCTCCCTCCCTTCCTCCCTTCCTTCCTTCTTTCCTTCCTTCCTTCTTTCCTTCCTTCCTTCCTTCCTTCCTTCCTTCCTTCCTTCCTTCCTTCCTTCCTTCCTTCCTTCCTTCCTTCCTTCCTTCCTTTTTTCCAAAAGTACTTCTATACAACACCACTGTGAAATGGATCATTCAAGAGTTCAGATTACTCATGATTCATGATTTTGGTATGTATGTCTAGGATAAAAGGCCCATCAAATAAAATTTTTATGAGTAATTCAATTGGAGTAGGATGAAAAGAACATCATGGATTATATATCCAGAACTAGAAGGGACCTCCAGCCTCCAAATTCTACAGAAGAGAAAACTTAGGCCAAGAGTGGTTAAATAATTTGCCTGAACACATACAGAAGATAAGGGTGGATTTTCTGTGTATACCTGCCCACTACTACAGACTTTTTTTTTTTCATGGACACCCCTGGTACATAGAATTCCAGGGTTCTAGAGGAGACATTTTGAGAAACTTTATAAGGACCGTAAGCTTCATCTATACATGCAGTAAGTGGAAGAACTGAGAATTAAACCCAGGTCTTCCGATTCCAAATCCAAAGGCATATTTTTCCATTGCTCCCGGGTGAGAGATCTCAGATCCTGGGGCACAAGGTCTACAGATGAAAAGAGCCATGGATGCTGTCCCTGAGGCAGGGATACCAGCCCAGTGGTTCAGAGATCTGGAGGCCAATTCTGCTGGAGAGGGGATAACTGCCACCAGGGGAGTGGGCAGGACAGGGCAAGCCAAGGAGGAACTCACCGGGGTGAGGCTGCTGGGGAATAGACTAGAATAGCTTCCTAGTTTCACTAATTCTAGGTTCTAGGATAAGCTGAAGGAATATAAGTACTTCTGGGCGCGGTAGTGCATATGCTATAATCCTTGCTACTGAGGAGGGTGAGGCTGGTGGATCTCTAGGGCTCTGTGTTCTAAGGTGCAGTGGCTTCTCTACCTGACTGCACTAGATTCAGAATTAATATGGTGAGCCCCAAGCCCAGGTCAGAAACAGAGCAGAAACCAGCTCTCCTGCAAGTGGAATCTGTGAGCAGCCCTTGCATTTTCAGCCTGGGTGAGATAGGGAGACTGAGTCTTTTCAAAAATAACAATAACAATAATTTTGGCATCCTGAGGCAAAGCCCCAATTCCCCCACCTCTCTAGTCCCAGCTGTAGAGCTCTGATTATAATCCCCATTTTGTAGATAAGGAAAGGGAAGCTCAGAAGGTTAAATGGCTTGCCCAGGGTCACACAGCTAGTAAGTGGTAAAGACTTGACCTTATATTAGTATTTTCTATCATAGAGGAAGATCATTTTGTATTGCATGCAGGCTCCTGAAAAAAAAATCTGATGTTCTCTGCCATAAGCATATGTTGAATTCACATGTTAGAGCAATGATTCTCAAGTATTTGGCAAAACCCTTTACTAAACATTTGGCAAAATGCTTCACTTTAAACAAAATTTTGTCAGGAACTATTGCAACAAAATCTAACGTGATTCTTTTAAATGCCTAGTAATGGTACCAATTAACTTAAGGCTATTTTTTAAAAAAATACATGTCTTTGGATCATTTTTGTTCTGAATTTAATATTATAACTGACTTATTAAAACAAGATGTGATTATTTGTAATTTATTGGTGTTTTATAAAGCTGATGAACATTTGTTGCAATATGCATTTTCAACATTCTGGGTTTCAATGATTGATCCAAGAACGAGAAAAGCCACCTCTTTGCTAACATGATATACTTTTACTGATCTCTATGGGTAAAAGATATCTATGTTTGTTGAACACATATATTGTGTCCAAATGATACACAGAAAATGCAGGTGGGTTTTTTGTGTGTGCTGCCTGCTACTCCTGATTTTTCTTCATGGATAACCTTGGTTCATCATTCCAGAGTTTTGGGGAAGACAGTTTGAGAACCACTGTAGGGACAGGGTTATTGCTTCTCAACATGCATGTTAGACTTGGTCCAGTTCCACATTTGTCAGTGGCAGGAGTCCTAATCATCAATGGCAAAAATGCTGGTTTTCAAAATGGAGCTTATGACAAGCTGGAGAAAATGCCAGGTCATTTCTTACTCTCTCTCATTTTTGAGATTCTGTATCTCATGTACTTTGATAACTGCATCAAATATATGTTGGAAGGGGTATGGGAAAATTGGGACACTAATGCCATCTGAATTATAATTGTTGTTCCACTGTTGGTGGAATTGTGAACTGGTCTAGCCATTCCGGAGAACATAAAGAAGGTACCATTGTACATACCCAAATGTTCTACACTGAACAATGTGATAAACTAAACAATTTATCTTAGAAGTTAAGGGAGCACCCTGCCTACCAAAATAAATTTAAATAAAATAGTAAATGTACCTGGTTTGTTTCAGTACTGATGTGATAGGTAGAATTTGGACCCCAAAGCCAGTGTTTAGAACAGATAGACAATGCTATCCTTCTTCTTCCCTGCCTTCAGGCCGTGGAATGTGCTTGTGTTTAGCCCAGCAAAAGTTGTTGATGACCCTCAATCTTTACCTCTTGCTTTTCCACTTCTTTCTAGTACTCCATCAGCAGCCACTCATTCTAAGTCAACACAGTGACCCATTTTTGCAGATTGGGCCCTCATACTTGGAAGAAGATGGCCTTCCAGCTTCAAAGAAGAACAAAATCATAAAGAACACTTGGGGAAGAAGGGACATGAACAAGCATTTACTTATTCTTAATATGTATATTTTCCAATTGTATGTAAAAACAATTTTTAACATTCAATTTTTAAAA